ATTCTTGGGGGGGAAAGGGGTGTGGGAGATGCCAAAAGAGACTGGACAAAAATCGTGCACCTATGGATGAGGACAGTGCGTGGGGAGTGAGGGCGGAGGGTGGGGCAGGAACTGGGAGGAGGGGAGTTATGGGGGGGAAAAAGAGGAACAAATGTAATAATCTGAACAATAAAGATTTAATTAAAAAAATAAATAAAGGGCCAGAAGGTTGCAAACCACTGATCTAGTGGTTCTTCAGGTGAGTCTTTTTATGAAGTACTTTCCCTCTCCAGAGAACGTGAAACCACATTGGCTCAAATAACTGTTGGTATTTGGGTTAGTCCAGCATCGTCTTTTTAGGACAAGTTGTTAAATGAGCTGGAACACAGAAAAAATAATGTTGTGCTGGCTGCAGGGGCAAAAACTGTGTACTAGTATAGCATGACAGAATGGTGGCACCAAAACTTTCTCAGAATTTCGCAGTAAATCTGTACTTGGTTCTAGCAATGTTTGTGTTGGGTGGTTACAAGAAGGAACCGCTGAAGGTAAAGCAACTGTCATTTAAAAACCTCAAGGCACATAAAATTGGAGACTTTGCATCGGGGCTAGATTTAACTTTATAAAGACCTCTGTGTTAACATATTTACACATGTTATTTGCTGTTATTAGTAGTCAAACATGTTTGGAAGTTGAGAATATTTTCCTTACTTCTGTTTTCGGCATTTTTATAATGGATCATGAAATTATAACATATGAGGTCCCCAGCAAGATAAAAGAAGCCTGTAGCATATCCCACAGTAAATTTCTCTCTATTTTTAATTTTTCTATTTATGGAACATTTGGGCAGTGCATGTAATTGAAAAAATGGCTGAGGTTAAAACAACAACAACAACACTAAGGTTTTTTTGTTGGTATTGTTTGTATGAGGTTGTTTTTAGATCATTTGGAAAAGTTAGCCAAATACTTCTCTGCTGCTTAAAGGTCTATTACTTAATAAATATAATGTTGTTCCATTGACATAGCACCCTACACTATGTTTTGAAGGGGAAAATGCTCTCAGTGCCCATTCTGCTCCATCTCTATCAGTCAGGGATGTTTGGTGCCAAATAAAAGAAACTTACTCTGGCCAATTTAAGCAAAAAATGTACTTACTGTAGGTAATGAAGTAGCTCATAAAATTAAAGTTATAAAATTAAACTTTGAAAAGGATAGGATTCTGGGAACATCCTGGATATAGTTTCTAGAAGTAATGACCTTTTTTTTTTTTAGGGCATGTCTTTGGAATGAAATGACTGGACCTATTTTCCATCCTTCCATCTTTGGACAGATTCTTGGGCGAGTCAGCCTGACCTCCTTCCTACCCCTGAGCCAGGGGAGGATGGCTGATTGATAGCATAGCCAGGGCCCCATGTAGTGCAAAGGGAGTGTTGTTTTTTTGGAAGAAAACCAAGGTGCTGCTAGGAAAGGAAGAGGGGAGGTGATTATGGGGAGTGGAGAACAGAGGATCTGCATTTCAGTGTTCCTGTGTGAAAAGCGGTGTTTCAAGAAATCAATGAGAATATTTCACTGGAAGCAAACCTTTGCATAGGTTGTCACTTGTCAAAACAGCAAGATTTCAGTTGAGTTGAGTTAACATTAATAAAGGAAGGAAGAAGGAAAGAAGGACGAAAGAAAGGTAGGAAGAAAGGAGGAAAAGAAAATAGGAAGGGAGGACAGAGAATTACTAGTAGCCCTTTAATAAAGTCCAAATTTGGACTTTATTATGAAATAAAATTTCCAAAGTACCGAATAACAGTGAAGCTTCAATGTAAACACATAAACGTTCCTTTTTTGCCCACTAGATTTGACTTCTATGAGAATTATTGCAATGAAATTCTTGGGGTTTAAAGAAAATCTTCCCTCTTAAAAAGAGGGAAGTAACAAGTCTAATCCTAGAGAAGAAGATATCCAATGGACCCTCCTTGGTCTTCCTCCTCAAACCCCCTCTGGGATGAAGTGCATATATTCACAAATGTTATATTTGGCCCAATCCCACACAGGAAGTCTGACTTCACCATACAAAGAATGAGTTTGTTGGCTTGCTCTTGGTTCTTGGTGTGGGCCAGACATCAAGCTTTACACTTGATTTTTGTCTTTTTAAAAAGCTTAGGGCTTTGAGTCGAGTTCATGCAAGCATTTATAATTATTGCTGCAAGTTAAGTATATGTATAGAAGCTTTGTACTCATAAAAAGAAAAATCGTGGGTCTGGCATTAAATATTCATGAGATAAGAACAATTATTTTTACAGTGGACTTACAGTATTGCTGTCAATCTTGCTGCCCTGGCTTTGGAATGAGCCCCAGTGCCTCCTATACAAGGAAGAAGGAGCTAACTGTGAAGTTCATAAATCTGACCTCATGCTTCTTTCTTTCTTAACTAGCATTTCTTCTTTTCAGTGTTTCCCCCTAAAGGCAACAAAATAAAGGAAATGTGAACTTTGTGTCTAAGATTTTCTATTTATTTATTTATTCATAATTTTTATTTTGTTAATCCTCACCCAAGGATATTTTTCCATTGATTTTTAGGGAGAGTGGAATAGAGAGGGAAAGACAGAGAAACACCTATGTGAGAGAAACACATCGATTGGTTGCCTCCTGCGTGAGCCCTGACCAGGGCCCAAACGGGGAGGGGAGAAGGGGAATAAGTCTACAACTGAGGTACATGCCCTTGACTGGAATCAAACCTGGGACCCTGCTTCGGTCCACAGGCTGACGCTCTATCCACTGAGCCAAGCCAGGTAGGCTCCAGCGTTTTCTTTTAATGATTTTGAGAGCATTTATGCTTACATAGGCAATAGATGTGGTCCCTTGATAAAAGAAAATGCTGGTATTGCTATTTGCTAACAGTTGTAATGGGACTGCAGTCATATGAATCATTTGTAAATTGTTTTAAGGGTTCAGTATTGATGGATTTGAATATTAAGGAAGGTTTTGCTTCCCAATCCATTTCTCTGAGTAGTTCGGTGGAAGCCAGTGCCACTCCGGGTTCTGGAGCACTATCGGTGTTGTCGAGCATGCTCTGGTGTCAGGGCATGGTCAGGCTTATCCTCATTACGTTCTCATTAGATTCAGAAGGTTAGCTATAAACAACAGGCTATAAACTCAGACCAACTTTAAAGAATTGCAGCCTGGGTAGAAAGGGCTATAAAGATTTCTAATCTTTAACCTAGGAGGCCCGAATGTTGTTAACTTCTTTGCCCTCCTTGAGATGTCAGCACTCCTGGGGTGCTGACAGAATTGGTTGACCCTCTTGGAACTGCCTGGACTGAAGCCTCCATCCTGCTAGTTATCTTCTTCCACCTGATGGCTCCCAGGCTCTCCAGCTTTCTTTCATCAGTGCATTCATGCAAAACTTTGCAATAAGGTTGGCCCATGATGGCTATCGGCCCACTGAAAAGATATGGCTCAGAAACTTGATATGTTGTTCAAATTTTTTTTATTTTTCTTCCATAAGTAATAAGAACTTGTCTATACATAGATTTTTCTCCCCGAGTTTCAGACTGTGCAAAATAATAGTTTCTCTCTTCATCCAAATGTTCACGTTAACCACCTTCCTCTTCTATTTCAAAGTCATTGTTCTTATGACGAATCCATATTTTCCCACAATCCAGAGAAATGTAAACTCTTCCATTCATGTCAAATTGAGAATGGGAAGCTAATGTCTTGTTTTGCATGGCTGGCATTCTCTACTGAGAGGTCGAAAAGGCCAATGAGAAAGAGAATGGTGCTCTTAAAATTGTGTCCTTCTGTGCTGACTGCTTTCAGATGAGTGGATAGTTTGTAGGGAAGTGAATTACTCATTCATCTAGCTCAGAGAAGGGTGACTTCTTAATATGGATCTCCTCCCAAAGAAGCAGCATTTTGTCTGTGGTCAGAAATTGTCATTCACCAGAATGTGAACTTGGGCAAGTCTCTTTGCTTCTCGTTGGTTTCCTTATAAATAAGATTGTGGTGGCAATGCATTTTTTGTGAGGATTAAATGAACTTCTGAGATTACCCATCAGATGATGTAATGGGGAAGGGAAGCCAACATTTATTGACCGCCTATTATAGTGTGTTATATCCATTGTCATGTTTAATGTCATCTATCATGGGCAGAAAGTATTGCTGTCACCTTACAAAAAATAAGGCTTTGGGAGAAACAGTCACTGGCTCAAGGTTATCTAAGTGACAGAACCGGAAATCACATCAATGTTCAAACTGCATACCTGCCGTCATGGGAGTGGGTAGGAGGGCTGGGTGAAAAAGGTGAAGGGATTAAGCAAAAACCCATAAAAATTCATAAACACAGACAACAGTATGGTGATAACCAGTGGGAAAGGGGGGTAAGGGGAGGTAGAAGAAGGTAAAGGAAGGATAAATGGTGATGGAAGGAAACCTGATTTGATTTAGGGTGGTGAACACACGATATAATATATAGATGATATAATACAGAATTGTACACCTGAAATCTAAATAATTTTATTAACCAGTGTCATACCAATACATTCAATAAAAAAGAAGAGTGTTTGCTTCCTTTCCTCACACTCTGTTTCCTAAAGTGAGAAAGAAAGGCTGGGCATAAAAGTGGGTAATAAGTGCTAAATTTTTCTGTTAAACATTAGCCTTTTTTTCTTTTGACAAACCAATGTAGATATTATATAATTTCTTTTGAAATTCTGTAACATTGATATCGCATTCAAAAAATATGTTTTGAAGTTCAAAAGAGTTACACAAAATGTAATATAGACCTACCCATTTTGTGAGCTATCAGAACAGATGAAATATACTGGAATGATTCATGACCATGTGCTGTGTATCATTCTGAAAGGTATAAATCAGCTACACTTGAAGGATAAATCAAAGTTTGTAAAACATAACTATCTTGTATTTGGTCTTTTTAAAAAAAATTTGGTTCTTTACAATTTTTCTCTCAAGTGGTTTTAAATGCAGGTCTCATGACTATCATATGTCCATAACAGTCTTCTTAAATGATCCCATTATAACGAATATTGGCTTACTAAAGTGAAAAGCCTAAAGGCACAAAACAGGGCCTACTAGAGTTAGTTGACTAACGCAGCTCACATGTTCAGAGAAGAAACAATCATCTTTGTAACATAGTGAAAGCATTTTACAAGAGTGGCTTCAATTTTTAAACTAGGTTAGAGTATTAAATTCTAACCCTAAGTTATAATTCTTTGTCACGAGGTCTGTACTGTTTGACAAATGCTCATCTCTTGAGAAAGAAACAAATGCTCTTAGGTTTGTGTTGTTTTGCAAACGGATTAATTCATTAAGGGGGTTGTCGAAAGAGCACATTTTGAGGCTGAAGAAGTCTTATGTACTTTGAATATATTACGTTGACTTTGCAGTTTACTTTAAATGGTGGTTTAAGTGTTTCAACATTTAATCATTTTTTGTTTTTCCTTTACAGTGGCTCCACCCACACGATTAAGATATAATGTGTTATCTCATGATAGTATACAGATTTCATGGAAGGCTCCAAGAGGGAAATTTGGTGGATACAAACTTCTTGTGACACCAGCCTCAGGTAAAAACTATCAACTGTGTTTTCTAGAGTATAGCAATCTGTACACATAGGTAACTAAAAAAGTGTAGTGCTAAATGTTGCTCTAAAGGCATCTGAAAATATTTTTTATTAATTTAATATTTGAGCTTGACATCTTGCCTTCTAATTAAGAAAGTAATATTCCCAAAGTCCAAAGAAGGACCATTGCCCCCACCCTCCCTAGTTCTCCTCAGGCGAAATTTCAGGCTATCAAAAATTCTTACAATGACTGTTTCAACATAAGGTGAATACTTTCATTCTAAGGACACTTAAAAAAATACCATACATCTGGCCCTAGCCAGTTTTTCTCAGTGGTTAGAGCATTGGCCCTTGGACTGAGGGGTCTTTCATTCAGTTCTGGTCAAGGGCGTGTACCTTGGTTGCAGGCTGGATCCCCAGCCCGGGTTGGGGTGGAAGCAGGAGACAACCATTCTAGGTGTCTTTCTCACATTGGTGTTTCTCTCTTTCCCCCTCCCTTCCACTCTCTCTTAAAGTCAATGGAAAAAAAATGTCCTCGGGTAAGGATTGACAAAAATAAAATAAAATAAAATGAAATACCCTATATCTGATGGCCAATAGTTGTGACTGGTTGAGTACATTGTGATTAATTAACTTGATATAATATATTCAGCAACTATAAGTTAAAATTATATAAGCTAAGTAGATATTATAAAAATAAGTGATAAAGCAGGAAAAGCAAAGTTAAATTTATTGATCATGAAGATAAAATAGTTATGTAAAAGATGCTCTTTCATATATCTGTCAGCTCTCATTTCTTCTAGGATCTGTTTTCTTTTTTAACATATTTTTATTGATTTCAGAGAGAAAGGGAGAGGGAGAGAGAGATAGAAATATCAGTGATGAAAGAAAATCATTGATTGGCTGCCTCCTGCACATCCCCAACTGGGGATCAAGCCCGCAACCCGGGCATGTTCCCTTGACCGGAATCGAACCTGGGACCTTTCAGTCCACAGTCTGATGCTGTATCCACTGACCAATCCAGCTAGGGCTAGGATCCATTTTCATATAGTACATAATAAATACTCAATAATAACATATTTGTATAATGTATATTTATATAAACATAATATTTTTTCCTTTATTGGTGATAAAGATGGTTTTGTGGAGGTGGACTACTTTTCCATTGGAGACCTTTGCCCAACTCATTTAATCAGGCAGAGAGATGGTGTGTTGTTCATAAGCCTGGACCACTTACCTGAGAGCGGATTTAAAATTTAAAAACAACAAGCAGATAGAATACCTGGCTTCCTGCTGTGTGACTAAAAAGTAACCTTCTTTTTATTAACAAATATTATATACAGGCTTCTTGGAATGACTTTGGGTTTAGTGCTACCACACAGATGGCAGCTTTCCCCCTGTGGGCTGACAAAGTGGTTCACTTGTAGAAAGCAATATTTTCTTCTCAAACTCTGTTTGGTTCAGAGTTTTCCTTTTGGAACATAGCCCAATTTTGAAATAACTCTGACTTTAAAAAATATAGCTTGTTTTCTAAATTAAGCCATTCTGGGAAATTTCAGTGTAAGAGATTCTTGAACATTAGTATGACTCTAAAGGTCAAAATATTAATTGCTAATATGTGGTACCGCTGAGAATTTCCCATGTCCGATCTTGAAAGGTAAATTTTTTATCCAGGTCATCAGTGTGTTAACTTTTCCTGATTAATTGCTGATCATACCAAACTATGAAGCACCCCAAGCAGGTGCCACTGAGGAACAAAAGATCTCCAACTCTTGCTCCCACACCTCCAGTGACAAAATAAAAGTTGAGGATGGAAGCAAATTATTTCTTTGTGAATACTGGGTTTGTTTTCCTCAGTGACCTAATGTACTTCCCAATTGAATAAGACAGTCTTGACACTCTGGCATCTCCTTGATCAAACATAAAATAACTTGAGTAAATAAAAAGGGTAGCAAGGCCCTACCTCGAGAGACTTCACAAGAGCCTCCCTCTTACCAACATGGCTTCCAGACTGAGGAAGACCTGAAAACTTTGGGGCCACGTGAGCCATGGCCATGGCCTCATTGGCAAGCACAGGAGGCAGCCGGGGGGCTGAGGTAATGCTGGTGGCTTGCATTATCACAGGATCACCTTCGCCAGGTTACTTTGGGAAAGTTGGTATGAGGCATTGCCACTTAAAGAGGAACCAGAGCTTCTGCCCAACTGTCAACCTTGATAAACTGTGGACCCTGGTCAGTGAGCAGACATGGGGAAATGCTGCCAAAAGCAAGACTGGAGCTGCTCCTATCATTGATGTGGTGCAATTGGGCTACTACAAAGTTCTGGGGGAGGGAAGGCTCCCAAAGCAGCCTGTCATTGTGAAGGCCAAGTTCTTTAGCAAAGAGCTGAGGAGAAGAGTCAGGGTGTTGGTAGAGCCTGTGTCCTGGTAGCTTGAAGCTACATGGTGGGAAGTTCGTTAAAATGTCCACAAATACAAAACTAAAATAAAATAAAGGGTAGTAAGTACATCTAGTCATAAAGTGTTTGTAGGCATTTTAGCACTACAAGACATGTTCCAAGTATTTTTATACTAATTTCTCCTAAAGTGTCTTCCACAGTACCCTGCAGGATGCTAATAGCTATTATACAACCAAATAGTTTAATGGTCAAATAAATTTGAGGAGTGATATTTTAAACAGAGTTTAAAGCTTTTTTATTGCAGGATTCTCAAAGCCTTTAAAAGAATACACCCTATGCCTCTCAGAGAGGGATTCTAATGTACAGTTTTCTAAGATAATTTTTTTTTGTTGTAGATGAGTTTTGATTGATAGAAGTTCAGGAAACCAAAACTTAACATCTCGGACACAAATGCATTTAAGGAAATGGGTTTTGACAAGAGAAAGGCTCAGTTCTGCCTTTGAGTAGTAGGAGGCATGGATGATAGTAGCATGGCATTTCAGACTTAAAGTCATTAATTTTTTATTAGAATACTAGAGGCCCTGTGCATGAAATTTGTGCATGGGGTGGGGGTGTGTCCCTCAGCCCGGCCTACACCCTCTCACAATCCGGGACCCCTCAGGGGATGTCCAACTGCTGGTTTAGGCCTGATCCATGCCTGCCTGACTGCCCCTAAATGCTTGCCTACCTGCCTGTCTGATCTCCCCTAACTGCCTCTGCCTGCCTGCCTGATTGCCCCTAACCACTCATCTCCTGCCTGATCGTCCCTAACCATCTCTGCCTTGGCCCCCACCATCGTGGCTTTGTCCGGAAGGACATCCAGAAGGTTGTTCAGCTATCCAGTCTGATTAGCATATTATACTTTTATATTATAGATGATTAAAACATAATCTGTGTTATGTTTTATTAAGCCAGCAAATTTCAGGCTATTTTTTGCTGCTACTTTTTTTTGCTACTACTTCTAAAGGGGCAGATGCTTTAAATTAATTTCCCTTTTCTCAGACATAGTAAATGCTGCCAGAAATTAGAGAAGGGTCTATTTGAAATTTTGAATAGAAGATTGAGTATTTAATCCATAGCATTTTTAGGAAAGCCTTAGATGTCAGTCTAATTTGATGGAGAGATAATGGGGGCTTGAAATCTTTTCATGAACCAGGCTTTTTAAGTAGCCAGGTAATGAGTGGTTCCTTCAACATCCTGAGCCAGTGATGCTCAGATTTAAGGTCATTAAGTTGCGAGTGCTTCAAGGATGCTTTGACTCACATTAGAAAGGCCATAGGAAAAATTCCAGCATAGATAATTACATTCAGTCTGCCCATATCTTCCCTTTCACTTTTAAGGGAAATTCTTAACTTGAAGAGTATATCTGATGTTGACAGCTTCCTGTCTTCTAGTATGGTACTATGGTTTCCCCTAGTGAAAAAAGGCAATAGGGTGTTATGATGACAGGTTTTTATGACGGTGTTTTTATTGAATTTAGACAACTGAAACCTGTGCTTAAATTTTCTCATGCAAGGAGTAAAACTGAAAATGAAAATAAAAAGTATATTGAAATTAAATGCTATGCACATACATACTATGATATATATTTTTAGATGTCTTCCCCTTTTAAAAATCTTGATGGTTAGTAAAATCTCTTAATGTACACAGTTAACCATCTTTTTAGAACTGATTTATCTTTCTGTTTTATTATAGGTGGAAAAACCAATCAGCTGAATCTCCAGAACACTGCAACAAAAGCAATAATTCAAGGTCTTATGCCAGACCAGAATTACACAGTTCAACTTATTGCACACAATAAAGACAAAGAAAGCAAGCCAGCCCAAGGTCAATTTAGAAGTACGTATTTACAGGTCTTAAAGTGCCGCCATGGGATCTGTCCCAGCTCTGAGTCTGAGTCTGTGGTAAATATCGGAGCAGGTTAAAAATCTCAATTGTTTAGATTTGAAGAGATCTTAAAAGACATTCTGCACAATCTTCCATGAGCTCCTTCTATCACTATTACTCTTCTTCTGCCTCTTGCTTCACCCATTCACTATTCTTTAAGTTTTAGTTTTCAAGTGCTATCCATGACAATGTCTGCTGAGGCTTCCCCAGACATTTATCTACCTTGCATAGAATAGGTGCTCACTAAATATTTAGCAAATGACTGAATGGATGATGCATATACCTCCTCTATAGTATCCCTACTAAGTGCCAATCCAGTCTTTACAAAACCAAACTATACAACAGGGAATTTAATCCTTTCCAATAACTAATCAGTTGACATGTATGTTGGCTAGGTCCCGTGATAAACAGATTTGTGAACAAATGCAACATGGTAAGTCTTAGAGAGAGAGAGATTCAGGACTCTATACAGGGTGGGAAGAGAGTATGGCTTCATATTTGAACTAGGCCTTGAGTAATAAGTTGTGCAAACAGAGAAAGTGTGGGGCATGCAGAGACATTCTAGAATAGGGCAGAAAGCTCGGAGGCAGCCCATTCTGTGTCTGCACCCATGGGTTCTAGAACTGAGGGTGCAGCAGTGTTTATCTGATTTTCTATCTCTCCCTCCCTTTTTTCTTTCTCTTCTAATAAATGTTTTATGAGACATATTTTGTGATTTTTTTAATTAAAAAAAAACCACCTCTACAACTTTTGTTAACCTGCTACCTCTTAAAACTTCTAAACAAAGATGATTGGTAAGTCCTTCTGTCAGCAGGGCATACAAACGTTTGAAATGTTACATTGTTTTGAAATTTGCATTGTCTGGAAGCCCAGAGAAAGGATTTTAATGTCATTTTCAATATAAAACAGCCTTCTGTCTCAGCTTACTGGCACGGCGCCTTCGTTGCTGGCCTCTGACATTCCTACATGAATAAGCAAAATAACTTGTCTTCAAGTTTGTGAGAAGCAGTAAAAGGGACAAGGAGAAATGATCACTTTACAATAGTCTGAAGGTATTGTGATTACTGATTTCACTGACTGGGCAGCCTAAGAAACACAGGTGGCCTTTAAAAGGTTTCCCAACAGCTATTTACTCTAAACACGTAAAAGAATATGCCTTTGTTTTCAGCTCACTTAGCTCTGCTGAAATTATCTTAGTGGAACAGTCTAACTGCTTCGTTGCATAAATTATATGTAAGCTTATATTTTTTAGCTATGTTGTTTGTATTGGCAGGATAGAGAGACTAGTTCTTCCCAAATAATAGTTTGTAAGAATGAGGTTACAGTAACTTCGTTGGATGGCTTCCTTTTCCACTTTGCATTTCAGTTACATTTTTGCTCCCTGTGAGATGGAGCTAAAGCCTGTTTTCCCTTCCCTGGAAAATTTTCATGGGTGGGTCCAGGGAAATGATGATCCAGACAAATCCTGAGAATATAGGTTTGGAATTGTGTAGTGAATGAAATTCTTTATAAATCCATCTTATGAGACAGGGAAGCTTAAGAAATAGTCCTTTTGCTTTGAAAACAAAAAGGCATGTCTGGTGTGTGTATTTGACCAAACAATTCAACCATGTCTAGCCTTAGTGTCGTCATCTGCGAGTGGGGGTGATGACATGTGCCTGCTATCGTGTGGGTTCGCTCAGTTCCGCACATAGTAAGGCGCACAGTAGCTATTATTATGATTAATGCCACTTTGCTTTATAGTCTGTTTTCTACTGATTTCCCTCCTGCGTGAGGGAAACAGCAGTTTCGTGTGACATATGTATTACATCTTATTTATATGTGACCCAGTGGCCCAAATGACTGTTATTTTTTCTCGTTCACTTATTAACTGGTCAATGACCCTGTTTTGGAAAACTTTCTTTTCAGCCACCATTTCCTCTTTGGAGTGGCATTTTGCTTATCTCTGCCTGCAAAATCTTGCTCGTTTTTCAAAGCCTGGCTCAAATGTCATTTTCCCAGTGACGTTTCTTGAGTCTTTGGAATTATTCTTTCTTAAACCTAGTTGTACTTTCTGCACTGCTCAGCATAATTTTTCTCATATTAAAGTTGCAGATTTTTTTTTTTTTACAGAGGATTTAAGCAGTCAGAAGCCATGGCCTATGTGTGGGTGGGTTTGAAGATGTAGGTTTGGAAATTATCTGAAGAAGGGTGAAAATTAAACTTGTGAGATGATAAAATTGTAGGTGGGGCATACTGAGATGCAAGGAAAATTTAGTATATCATGTTTTAGGAATGGAAGCAGAAAAAAGACCCAAAGAATGAGAATGTTAAGGAGGGTTCAGAGGAATGCAAAAAATCTGAGGATAATGCCTTTGTAAAACCCAAGGGAAAAAAAGAATTTAAAGAATGGGGTATTCCATATAACCCAGCAGTTCCACATCTGAGTATCTATCTGAAGAAAACAAAAACACTAATTCTAAAAGAATTATGCACCCCTATCTTCATTGCACTGTTATTTATAATAGCAAGATATGGAAGCAACCTAAGTGTCCATTGGTAGATAAAGAACACACACACACACACACACACACACACACACACACACACCAATTAGATAAAAATGTGGTACACACACACACTGAAATATTACTCAGCCATAAAAAAAATGAAATCTTGCTATTTGGACAACATGGGTGGACTTAATGCTAAGTGAAATAAGACAAATATCATATGATTTCACTTATATGTGCAATCTAAAAAAACACAAATGAACAAACAAAACAAAACAGAAACAGACTCATAGATACAGAGAACAAACTGGTGGTTTCCAGAGGGGAGTGGATTGGGGGATGTGTGAAAAGGTGAAGGGGACTAAGAGGTACAAGCATCCAGTTATAAATTAAATAAGTCACAGGAATATAATGTATAACTTGGGAATATTGTCAATAATATTGTATTTTATTGATTTTTTTTTAGAGAGAGAGGGAGAGGGATAGAGAAATAGAAACAACAATGAGAAACATCAATTGGCTGTCTCCTGCATGGCCCCTACAGGGGATGGAGCCCACAACCCAGGCATGTACCCTGTCCGGATATTGATCCCGTGACCTCTTGGTTCATGGGTCGATGCTCAACCACTGATCCATACTGGCTGGGCCCAAGTGTACTGTTTTTTTTTAATATATCATTTGTGTATCATTTGTATTGTGGGTTTGTGTTCACCACCCAAAGTCAAGTCTCCTTCTATCACCATTAATTCCCCTATTGCCCTCTTCTACCTCCCTCACTTAGAATGGCATTTTGCTTATCTCTGCCTGCAAAATCTTGCTTGTCTTTCAAAGTCTGGAAATCACCATACTGTTGTCTATGTCTATGAGTTGTTTTTTATTTTTTTGCTTAATTCCATCACCTTTTTCACCTAGCCCTGCCACCCCTCTCCCCTCTGACAACTGTCTGTTCTCTATATGTATGAGTCTACTTTGGATATATTCCAAGAAGTGGAATGGCTAGGTCATAAGGCAGTTCCATTTTTAATTTTTTGGGGTAACTCCATTCTGCTTTCCACAGTGGCTGTACCAGTCTGCTTCCCTGCATAGCCTATCCTCCAATAAATTTGCTGATTTCTGAGAAGTGAATGCAACAATTAAATGAAATGTCTTGCCATCAGATCACTTATGCCTTTTTACAGGGCATTTGTTCAGAAACCATTGCCATTTGGTGGTGGTTTCACTGATTCAAACAACTTAAGGTTCCAACAACAGTAGGAGGAAAGCTCCTGTGGTGTTTTAAGCAATGGAAAGTAAAACTAATGGAGTTCATTGGACTGAATGGATTGAAGGACCAAGGGCATTTTGGGTACCTGAATATTTCATAATGAAAGTGATAAAGAAATACTACTGTTTATTACTAGGAAAGCTTGTTTTGAGTTTGAAAGGAAAATATTATGGGGGTTCTCCACTTTCTATTGTAGATAGAACAGGTCCAAATGAGGATAGCCATGGCTAAGATCTTTCTAGAACAGGGGCCAACTCATAGGTCTTGTCCAGAGACCTGAAGATATGGCTTGAATCCTGTGCCTACACTTTATGGTTTTATGAGAATTTTTTCTTTTAGTTTTTGGCCTCTTGGTCCTTCATTCCCTCATGTATGATAATCATGCTTATTTTATAGCAGTTTTGAAGGATTAAATTTATTTGCTACATCTGGCCATAGTGAGTATTTGATCAAAGTAATTTCTTAAGTGTATTCAATACCTTATCATGACAAAGGTGCAAAAATAGTTCTTCCAATCTTTGGGAATGAGATTCTATCATGGAGCTAATTTCTACTTAGTACCCTCAATATTTGCAATGGTTTTAGTAAAACTCATTGAATATTTTCTTTTAGACTTTGACATAACATGTTGCTGTATTTCTACTTTTCTTCCAGTTAAAGATTTGGAAAAAAGAAAGGAACCAAAAACCAGAGTCAAGGTGGACAAAGTAAATGGGAATAAACCATCTGTACCAGAAGGTCAGTTTTTAAAATTTGCTTATATTGCGGGCTGAGTTGTTTTAATTACTCAGGCAGTGCACACACATGTAGCTGTTGGTCCCATCAGAAGATGGGATCTAATGTGAAAATCTTCCTCAGCCCCATTTCACTCCCCCTTCCTTCGTCACACATAATAACTGTCAACACGTCCCTCTCCCTTACTTTCCTGTATTCAATACGCCTCCCAAGTTCTAGCGAATTTATTTTCTATTGAAATACCGACAGAATCTGTTCATTTCTTTCCATGTCTATTGCCAACACTCGGCTAAGGTTCCATTTCTTTCTTGGCATGCAGTATTTTTTTTTTGCAGTATTTATTTTTTATGCAAAATCTCAATGAGTTCTCTACCCAGAAATTAGAGCAGTCTTTTAAATAGATCTGACCCTATTTTCTCCCTACACACACCTTAGAACCTACTCAATAGCTTCCTATTGCTCTTAGAATAGAGGCCAGAATCCTTAGCAAGACCTCTAAGGCGATATCTCATAACAAACCTACCTTCCTTTCCTCCCTCATCTAACAACTGAATGCTTTCTACCCACTGGCTTCTTTTCAAATTCTTTAAGGACCCTGGTCTCTCCCATACAACCATAGCACCTGTGCACTCTCTTCATGGAACACTCCCCACATCACTGCTCTGCTTAAATATATTTTTCCCCTTTCAAAGCTAAGTTCATTCATTACTTTCTCCTAAATATTTCTTAACCTTCCTCCTCTATTACAGGCCCTCATGCAACAACTAATTTCTTTTAACAGCATTTGTTGCAGTTGTAATTTCCTATTTACTTGTAATTTGAATGGTTGCCTTCCCTACTAGACTGTGAGATCCAAGAGAGCAAGAATTGTGTCTGTTTTTGCTCCTTATTGACTCAGTATCTAGCAGTTTCTGATACACAACAAATTTCTGGTTAACATTCAGTGAATAGAAAGACAAATAAATGGTCTACTAAAAATGTTACCTACTAATAGCTAAAAATGTAATTTTTATAATTTGCCCCCGTTTCTTTCAACCTATGGCATGAATTTCCAGTTACATTTTTGTGAATATACAAATGTCCATATGGTCTGCCATATTGCATTTCCTGTTCTGTGCATCGCTTTGTCACTTTGAGAATTTTCCATGTTATTGCCATTTCCTAAGCTCCCCCCGTGTGCCTTATTTATTTAGAATTGATCAAGTTTTAAAAAATATATTTTCCTCTCTACTCACCTAGAAGGTTTTCAGTCCTTTTGTGTTTCTTTGTATGATTTTAATGAAACTTTTAATATGCATACAAAAATCAAAGTTTATAACTAATCAATACACAATTTTACAATACTTTAATTATCTAGTGTCTATATTTTACACAATTCATGAAATATACATTAATTTTTATTTATTTTTGTCTCACCAAAGTATTATAACTATTATATTAAGTCATTGTCTAAAATTTCTCATGTTTAAAAATTTCTTTGCTCATCATTCCATTGGTATCTCTGACCTTCTCTGTGTGTTCAGTTTCCTTTAGGGAAGATGTGTGGTGGTAAACTCATTTTACTCATACAAAAATATATTCACCCATACTCTGTTGAAGAATTAGCTGGGTACTAGGTTGAATTTTGTCTCTAATCATTTAGAAGATATTTCACTATGTTCTGCCTTCTATTTTTGACAAGTCTGTTGTCAGTATAAATGTTACTCCTTTTCAAGTGTTGTCTGTGTTCTCTTTGGATGCTTTTCAGGCTGTGTGTCCTTTGTTTTTAGTGTTCTGTTGTTTCACTACAATGAGTCCAGTTGTAGACATTTTTGTGCTCCCAGAATAAAGATGTATCTTTCACTAATTCTGGAAAATTCTCAACCATTAGCTCTTCAAATATTCTTTTTCTCAATTATCTTTCTCGGCTTCACCCTGAAATTAATCATATCTTCAAGGAGTCCTGTTTCTTTCCATGAAAAATTATACTTAGAAATCAATATGTGGGTTGATTCAACTAGATATGTGCTTATTGCTTCTAGATTGTCAATGCTTCTAAGCACACTTAGCTGAAAATACATACACATGAACACACACACACACACACACACACACACACACACACACACACACCATTATTCCTCTACCTACCTATCATTTATCTTATTGGATCTTATGTCTACCTTATACCCATATTACAGGGTTCATTATAGCCCCTTTTTTCTATATTAAATTTATGTTTTCAAGAATTCAAAAACACATGAGACAGAATCAGTCATTCAGAAAATAATTGTTGGAACACTTGCATTATACCTGTGCATAAAATTATAAGATTTCCCTGAGGGCAAGGGGATGGGATTCTCTTAGCAACAGACCCCCAGTTTTCTCCCCCCCCTACAACCTCTCTTGCTAAGACAGTTTTAAAGGATTTTGACACCTTTTTCTGTTGGCCTCCAGCAAATTTTATTATTCTAAACCTATGAATGCTCCAGTGGTAAGAAATCATAGCTCTGCATTAAATAAGTTTTCAAATGTTCTCATTTTTAAGAGAACTTGTAGCATATATATTTTTTTCTTTTTAATCAGATACTTTTCAACTATGAGCTCTGCTATAGATTTTGGCAGAGTCTGTGCCTCATAGGTATGCTTGGACTTGTCTGATGGATACCGTTTTTTCTTGTCTAAGAATTTTCTGTTAAACATCTTGTTTCTATACCTGCAGGGCTGACTGTTGGTATCAAATTAAACAGGTGTTTCAGCCTTAGAAATTGCAAAATGTCAGGATCTGTTTGTTATTGAGAAATTGGAATAACAGGGATGATTGAGTGGTTGTATATTTCAAAAAATCACCTTGAACAACCAAGGTAAACATACAGTAAAATCATGTTCAAATCATATAGTCAGATCAGAGCTGAAAATAATTGCAAATGTAATACACTAGCTTCTGGAGATGAGGAAGTTTTATTTTTAAATAGTGATGGTTAGGCAAAGCACCTTTTGTTGGGTTAGTATTAATTTATGATAAATAGGAAATAAACCAGAGAATTGTACAAATAAACTTTTAGAGCAAACTTTATATAAAAATATTTAAAAAGGACCATATACTTTCAAAGGAAATAAAACCCATTTAGGTATCTTATATTGTGGTAGGTAGAATTTGGAGAGGGTAGACAGGAAGAGATGCTAAAGGCAATGGGGATAAAAACAGAGTCCACAGTCTCAGGGAATGTTGTTTGGGGGAATAAGAGGAATTTCATTACAGGAAAGTGAGAAATAAATACGGATCAAGTGGAGTTGAGTTATGGAGAGCTTTGAAGAGCACAGTGAATAGTTTAGGCTTAACTTGGTAGGTGAAGGAGGGAAGAGATAATCTTAAAAATTTAGAGTTGGAAGGTACTTTGAGAGCCATGTAGCTCAAGCAATTGAGAAGATGGTTGAGGCTCTTTATCCATGCCATCAAGGGTTGACCAGCATCTGCTTTTATTGACAAAGATCTCATTGTTTTCCAAGGCAGTGGTCTATGGAAATCTCGACTGTTAGAAAGATATTTCTTGAATTGAGTTGAAATCTGTCTCCTTGTGGGCATACAGAACACTCTTAATCCCCCTTTTGTATGACAGCCCTTTTAATATTTGAAGACAGCTGTCATGTCCTCTCCAAGAACCTTGCAGTTTATGAGCAAAGGAGAAATGTGATGTTTACTGGATTGCCAGTTACTCTTGAGATGCAGGGCTCTGAGCGACGGAAATGTTCTTTTGGCTGAAGTTTAGGGATTCGGCGTCTCACATCTGCAAGTTGTCATGATGTTATTTATCCCAGGTTGGATATAGCACAAGTGGGTATAACTTTGATTTCAGTCTATCTGTAATTGCTAGGCTTGGCAATCTTTCCTCCCTTACTTTTTTCTCCCTCCTTTTTTTTTCTCCCTTTCTTCCCTCCCTTTCCCTCTCTTCCTCCCTCCATTTCTCCTTTCTTTCCTTTCAAATATTTTTCTATGATAAGAGTTGAATAGCTCAATAGCTAAGTGGTTCAGGCTATGGAGTCATTTCTGGATTTTAATCCCAACTTTTCTACCTGCCCAGTGTGTGATGCAAGTTATTTAACCGTTCAAATTACTTAAGCTTTCTTTTTTTAATGGAAAGAGGAGAACTTCTATCTGAAAGCATTAATATCTGGCTTAAATGGCAAAGATATATGCAAAGAGCATCTGATGAAAGCAGTCATGAAATGGTAGGTCATTCCATTCTTGTAAAAAAAGAAAGCAATGAAAAGTGTCTACCATAGTCAGTAAATAAATAACTGTATGCATTAATCAGGATTCTCCATATGGAAATAGGATCCATATACATATGGAAAGAGATTTATTGTAAGAAATTGCCTCATAATTACGGAGGCTAGGAAGCCCCACAATTTGCAGCTGGCAAGCTGGACACCCAGGAGAGCTCCTCCTCTAAGTTCCAGCCTGAACACTGGCAGGTTCCATATCCAAGAAGACCAGTGTTGCAGGTCTAGTCCAATGTTACAGCTGAAGGCAGCCAGGCAGGAGCAGTTCCCTTTTACTCAGCCTTTTTGTTCTATTCAGGTCTTCAGTCAGTTGGATGAGGGCCACCCACATTAGGGAGGGCCATCTGCTTTACTTAATCTACAGATTCAAATGTGAATCTCATCCAAAAACACAGACACACTCAGAATAATGTTTAACCAAATGTCCGGGCACTGCGTGGATTAGTCATGTTGACACACAAAATTAACCATCACTATGTAATAGATTTCTTAGAAGTAAGAAGTTCTGCCAGTGTCCAGCTGGTGTGACTTAGTGGTTGAGCATTGACCTATGAACCAAGAGGTGGCTGGTTCCATCCCCAGTCAAGGCATGCCCAGGTTGTGGGCTCGATCCCCAGTAGGGGGTATGCAGGAGGCAGTCGATCAATGATGTTTCTATCTCTCTATCCTTCTCCCTTCCTCTCTCTCTAAAATCAATAAAAACATATTTAAAAAAAAAGAAGTTCTGCAAAAAAAAAATA